ATATATAAAATATTATATATATAAATGCATATTGTATATAAAACAAAAACATTCCATTTTGGAGGTAAAAAGAGACAAAAACAAAGAGAAATAAAATAAAAAAACAACAACACAAAACTGTACAATGAATAAAGACGACCATGGCCCACAAACTTCCCTTTGTGTATTTGGAAATGAAATTTAACTCAAAGGTTTATGTAAGAGTCTAGTAATAAAAATTTGAAGAACTGACCTCACAGTAAGCAGCAGGTAGACATAAAATACTGTCCTCTTGTAATCCTTCCATCTATGTAATTAAAATGGGCACTCAATGGATCATTTAGATAATTTCATCCATTTTTATAAGCATAAACCAATTCTTTTCTTAACAATGCAAAACAATTTGGCTTAACTCATCCCTTCATTAAAAGTAAAACACCTTAAGGATATTCCTATACAATATCTGTCTATCATCCCTCAGCATCAACCTTAACACCACTCCTACTTTTTCCTACGCGCTCGCTCGGCACAAACGTTGCCTGAGACCCGCTAATACACGGTTGCGACTCCTCTCCATCAAACGGCACATTTGGCATGCTAATCACAACTCCTGGGTACGCTTTGCTCGCCGGCACTACAGGCCAGCTGAGAAATTACAGCCACTGCCAGTGCCGAGGTAACATGCAAGCCTGTCCGACTCCCCTCGTACCTGCACAAACATTTCATTAGCGTGCATTAACATTTTTAGCAGATCTTAGTAAAAGCCCTTTAAAGCTTATTAGCCCGTACATACCTAAAAGCCACACATGCTATTCTTTACACCGCCTCGCTCTCCTTAACAAACTTACTTTGCTACTTAAAACCATTTCTGAAGAGTACGTCCTAACAACAAAATTTTCTGGTTTCCCCACCTGCGTTGCTCCTCTCAACTTTAAAACTCAACTGCGACTTGCAACAGAGAAATAACGACAGAAAGCGCGGCGGCGGTTGGACCGCGCGGACTCACCTGCAGCGCGCGCTGCTCCCGGCTGAGCTGGCTGGAGTCGGCGTACAGTTCGGTCGTCACACACTTGAATCGATCACCTACGTAACCCGCAGAGTTCGCGATCCTCTTGGCCAACTTGGATGGCTTGGGTTTCAGTATTTTGCCATCGGCAGATTCTGCGTCGTCGGCTCCGTCTTTGGTATAGGTCTGGCTGGCGCTGATGCTTGGCTGCGCCGTCCCCATGCAGAACGGCTTCGCGTCCTCCTGCACCTTGCCAAAAGCCAGAGCTGGAGCATCGCTCTCGTGAGCACCTTCCAAGAAAACGGGTGAAGGCTGGACCACCACTCTCTCTTTAGGCTGGCTCACAGCTAGATCTTCTTTCCTTAAGCCGAACACTGATGCACTCTGGGCTTGCTTGAAATTAAAGGTTTCAGGAAGATCATTATTTCTTCCAAACTCCTCTCTCATTACAATAAAATCTCTGTGCTGCGACGCCTGCTCTACCTTGTGCTTTGTAGGGTCATTAGTCTGATTACTGCTTTCCATAGCAAAGCTGCCTTTCGTTACATTTGCTTCACTTTTAGCCTCTTGCTCGTCTCGCAAAAGATCTGGGAAGAGGTGTTTGTCGCCTTTTGACAAGTTTTTACTATGGCCAGAGCTCGGGTGCAATTTCACACTCTTGTCACCGGGCACTTCAAAATGCATCTTCCCACCACTCTCGAGGACCTCTGGCAACCTGCTCCGCAGTGCTGGATCCTCATACCGCACCCTCTCGTGAGACCGCGACCTCCTCTCGGCCTTCTCCTCCTTACTGATCTCCAAAGCCGAATGCTGCAGCAGCATGGGGTGCACCATGCCCATCCCCAGTGCGTCCTGGTAGGTCATGAACTCCCCTCGCCCTGCGGGCAGGCTGTATGGGAGGCCCGGCTTGGGAGCCAGGTGGGTGGGGTAGAGGCTGCCGTTGGGCAGCAGCACAGGGTGTGGATACACATGTCCTTTTCCATGGAGGGTGAGAGGGCTGATGGCTATTCCCTCTGGCACCGGGTACGGGAGGTAACTCCTGGGGTAGGGCAACGGCGGCGAGCGAAACGCCTCGTTGGGCGGCAGGAAGATGGGACTGGAGGCCAGGGCAGTCTCGCTCGCCTTGAAGTTGGCTTCCTGGCCGCAGGACTTGGCCACCTTACTGCTGTGTTTCGCAGGGGTGGCCACGGGCTGCCCGACATGCTGTATGACCGAGGCGGTGCTCTCCGCGGAGCTCCTGGCCGTCTTGGCGCAGTCCACGTTGGCGTTGGGAGCGGGCGACGCCGACGCCGG